GTGGAAGCCCAGCGGGAGGCTGAGGAGAGCGCGGGGCGGGGGGAGCTGCCAGAGGAGCCGGGCGGCTGCCTCCAGGGATGTGCTGCATCACACCAAACATCTCCAGCAAGCAGAAAGAAAACAACCCCGAGGAAATCCCTGTGTGTTGGTTGAGAGCACCTTGCCTTGGGCTGCGGTATCACACAGATATAAATTTAAAGGAACTCTAATAGAAATCAGTTACTCCTTTGAAAGGATGATGGAGTTGCAGCCCTGCAGCTCCCAGCTGACACTAGTCTTTAACCAGCCCCCGTGGCGTTCATGGTGAGGAGGGAGAGAGAAAGGAATTGTGGGGCAAGATTGAGAGACTGATTTTGGTTGTGACAAGTGAATTGAACTTTGAGTTTTCCCTGAGCCGGGGAAAGTTTGCAGAGAGGCAATAACCATCATCAGGCTAACTGATACAACCAGAACACAAACCCTCCCCGGACCCGAGCCGTTCGCCTTCATATTGTCCTCCTTTGTTTGGTTTCAGTGCCAGCTGGTGAGTCTGCTGATGCTCCTCATGTGAGATCTGAGACAGGGACAGGTCCAGAGTACCTCAGGCTCACTGGATACCAGAGAGTTAAAGCACGACTGGGCAAACTAGGTGCAGAAACACTTACTTGAAAGGGTTGGCATTGCAGACCGTGACCGCTGGGAACTTCATGGTCTTAAAGCCAATGGAGAGCGAGGACGTGACGTTGTAGGAGAGGTAGGTGTTGATGAGGATGCCCCACTGCCAGAACACCAGCGACGCGAAGAGCAGCGTTAGGAAGAACCAGATTAATTTCTTCTTCGGCCCCTCTTTGATGATGCGCTTGGGGCCGTGGGTGTTGGTGTTGTCACAGTACCAGACCAGCAGCTCCTTGTAGGTGTAGCCAGGGCCCTTCTGCAGGCGGTGCAGGGCCCGAACAAAGTACTTCTTCAGGTTCATGCTGCTGCCTGCAAGAGGAGGAAAAGGCATCAAACCAGCCCCGCTGAGAGGCAGCGTGTGTTACACCACACACACTGGTGCTGTCAGCAGAGCAGAACTGGGGCAGTTACGTGGGGGCACGACAGTGGTTTTATAAACCAAGAGAAATTCAGAGCAGACGTTCTGCAGTGAAACAGCCCCTCACCTCCTGAGAGGGGACAAGGGCATTTTTGTGCTCTCCAGGTCCAAAAGTGGTGAATGTTTTTGTTGTGACCCTTCCCCACAAGTAACAGGTGAGAGGAAAAGAGGAAACGGCCTCAGGTTGTGCCAGGGGAGGTTTAGGATGGACAGGAGGAAAAACCCCTTCCCCTCCAGGGTTGTGGAGGCCTGTGCCAGGCTGCCCAGGGCAGGGGTGGAGTCCCCACCCCTGGAGGGGTTTCCAAGCCCTGGGGATGTGGGGACCTGGCAGTGCTGGGGTAACAGTTGGAGTCAATGACCTTAAAGGTCTCTTCCAACCAAATCAATCCTATGATTCCATAATTCTGGGGTCCCCACAGGAGTTCAGTGACTGGGACCTGCTGGCCACAGCTCTGCCTGCACGACTTACCCAGTACTGGCCCCCGGGCCCCGCGGGTGTTGCAATAACTGACCAGGTAACCTTTGAGGAAGCCAGTGTTTGTGTGCAAACTGGTCTGTAACATCCTCTGCCAGCGCCAGATGGACCAAGCAGTACACACCTGAGCTGCCTTCAGGGAGAATTCAGCCCAACAGCATTCAGTGTGCAAGCTAATGCAGGGCTACAGACAACTTTTCGTACCAGTATTTCAGTGCACAAGGCTGTTGGGGGTGGGTATGGGGGGCTGGGGGCAGGAGAATAGGGCCTGGACCCAGAACACCTTTCCCAGGACGGGGAATGCCGCTCAGTGTTGCTGCCTGCCAGAGGAAGAGCAACTGATTGGGTTTTTCCACCAAATTCCTGTCTCTCAGATACTATCGGAATGCTTCCATCTCATGTGAGGGATGCTGCATATTTTACATTCAGATTGTGAGTAAATAGAACATTTTGTGCTGCTATTTTAAGGTGAGAATTTGTGTTACTACATCTTAATATCCCAAGGCAGGATTTCAAAACAAACCCAAGTCAGCTGCTTAGAACATTTTTCAGACTTAAACTGGAGGAGAACAGAATTAAAGGTCAATGCTGAGTATAAGCAGAAGGAAGCTGCTGAAGGAATACAGCAATATTTCAGTGAGGAGCAGCACTCAGCAAGGCAGGAGCTGCATTAACAAGAAGTTACTTGCAGACAGACCACCGAAGGTACAGGGGGGAGCTGACGGGTGCACACCAGCCTCGTTGGAGCAGGAGCAACTGTGGCCTTCCTACATAGCCAAAAAAAAAGGTAATAGTGATTATAGTGATTCATTGGTTTATTGGCCAGATCTGCAAAATCTCCTGAGTAGTATATACAGAGTTGGGTAAAAGTATAAACCCAATAGATTTTATGGTGCCTCACTTCATGGTGCAAAGAGAGATGATGATTTTTATTGCACACCTCATTACCTGTGACATCAGACGTGGCCTAACACCATGAGGTCTTGATGGGAGAGTGCTTTGGAGAGCAGAAACTCCAGGATCTGAGGGTAGCCTCTACTCATGTGGAAACATTTTGTTCTGTAAGGAACATGTCTCCTGGGTCTCCGAGACCTCCTGGACCCATCAGTGCATCCTCAGCTCACCCTCTGTGAACTCCTGTCCCCGAGTTTCCCACCCCCAGCTGCCTGCAGCGGGGTTTATTCGCAGAGGGAGCTCACGCTGCATCAGGGGCTTGCTGGCTTTTGGGCAGGACTACAATGAACCCAGGACAGTGACCTCAGCCTCTGCTTCATCCCCGTGGCCGAGGGGAGGCCGTGGAACCCACGTGGCCGCTCTGCCCGAGCCGGCTGCTGCCAGCAGTGGGCACAAGCTCATCTCAAGGCACAGCCTCAAGACAGGTCTCTGCTTTACACAACGGTATCGTCCAAAGACACTGAAATCCAGAGAGACTAGCCAGGCAAACTAGTAAATATTTTCCACCTTTGAAGAAATCCAATAAAAGGTGTAGATTAGATGAAGATTTGAGCCACACCTCGGTGCAGCGGGGCAGCCCAGCCCTGCTGGACCTGACGGGCAGCGTGCCCTGCAGCCCTGCTGCCCCCGAGCCTCTGACCTGCCCCGGGGCACCGCTGCGCCCCACGGACCCCCGGGGGCTGCTCCTCAGCCTGGCACCGCTGGAGGGAGTTATTGTTTCTTTTTATATCGTTTCCTGAGGCTAAAGACTAACGTTTTTTCTTCCCGATAGTAATGTTGAGATCTGCTCACGGACGGAGGAGCACACGTGGGGTTAAAGCTCCACTTCCAAACCCAAACGATAAATTTTGCTGCTGCTTTCTCTCTGTTCAGGGTTTTGCAGAAGTCACCGGCAGAGTTGTTCACCCGGGATTTGTTTCCCCTCCGCACCGCCGGGGGAGCGCTCTGCAGAGCCGGAGGATGCTGCGCCGGGAGGGGCAGAGCAGCTCCCAGCAGCTTTCAGCAGCGGCTGGGGGCCCCCCCCAGTCCCCCCCAGCCGCAAAAACGCTGTGCTGAAGGGCAGCACTTTCACATTTTTAAGTTATATTCAGGCCACATTGTGGAAAATAAGTTTAAATGAGGGTTTAGAGACGTTTTAAACTGATCCAGAGCTTTTTTTCCCCAATGTCAAAGCCATGGGACGTGGTCATTGCAAGTGCTGCTCCATCCTGCAGCTCCCCAGGGCACCTGCCAGCGGGAGCACA